GACAAGAGAGCGAAGAAAGTTAAATATGGGTATCTTATATATATATACATACATACAAGACGTTTGAGTTGATGAAAGAATGATATAGAAATTTTCCCAGAATTATATGAATGCGTATTACGATTCCATGGGATTTCACATAGCCTTGCTTGCCAAAAAAGTATTCTCATTGAGAAAGGACTGCAGCTTTGACATCGCCTAGGTCTAATCACCAATCCTAGAGGGACTCGAACCGATGACGTGCAGCGTATAGTTTCCTCTCGCTCACCACTACGCGACACTACCATAAACTCCTTTGGATTATAGAGCAGACACTAATTTCAAGGAATGGCAGGCATTTTACAAATATAAATATGTAACTACCAGTTCTTCATCACCTTAAATGAACACAGCTAATATATCTCGAAAACATAATAGAACTATTTTATATAATAATTTGATTTGCCCTAGTCCTGATGGGCTCCATATTCACGCCCTTTTTCTCTTATTAAGGCCTAGCAACACAATTGCTACAATAAACAGTGGTGAAGATTCCGGTTCAGAAATCGGAGGCTTTGATAAACTTACTTGAGATAGTTTCGTCTCATCCTCTTGTATATCAGCAAATACAGTCTTTTCTGCCTCAGATGAAATAAATGACTTTGTATCAGATTTACAACTGCTCTCGGCTGGTATTGTATCTGAAGGCGGAGGAGGAATCGACGTAAGGTTAGAAAATGATGAAGAGGCAGTTTTTACAGCCGAGGCTCTAGAAACGCTCAGACTTGGGGCCAAAGCATGAAGCTGAAAAGAAGCAGGACTAGACATCGAAGATGCCGTGGATCCAGAACTCGAAGCAGCAAGATGAGCGCGCTCCCAATTTTGGGAGATCAGTTCAGGCAGGATGACGATGGGACCATCTGAGTGATTTGTCTTGTTGGAGGAATGAATTGTGGATCCGGCCTCAGAGACACCGCTGGAAGTAAACGGATCTGATTGATGTTCGGAGCAGGAAACCGGTCCACCATGAACCCGAAAGTGAACAGCCAATTGCTGACGAGCAGGGGGTTCTAACAATAACTGGTTGATCTGGATGCAGCCATACACGACCTAGGAAAAAAAACATTATTAATGCAGGACAAGTGACGGAATAGCAGAAAGGCCATCGGGAAAGCATAAAAGTAAATACGCAAGAATAGAGACGGGCAGAAACAATAAAAATATAAAGGTAAAGTTTATTTCAAATCCATTCGGAGATTGATTGTTGCCCAAGTACGCCATTTCACAAGAGTGCCATATTGGCTTCAAACCCATGACTCAATTATCCCTTCGCAATCCCCACCCACATTTTGTGGTTTGAGAGTTCACCGCTTCCTTTTTATCCTTTGAATCGTGAGAAACACTCCTCTCGCCTCTCTAGTTGACATCCTCATCTAATCCCAGAATACCGGGATTAAGTTCATGTGTCTTTTTGTTGGCCTAGTATCCCCCGTGATCAAGCCTGTCACCAGTCCCCTCCCTTTCAGATACAGATCCGAAAAATGCACACAACACTACGTACGCACAATAGTTACCTCTATCTGGCCCACAACTGCCTATAGCCTTTCATTTCATTTCCTACATCCCACAGATGAACGAACCCCCAGGGTAAATTTTTTGGCCAATTTCGCGCATTGTACTTCTCACTGCAGTCGCCATTTCTTGACTTCCCTTTGTTCCACATAATCTGCTCTTTGGTGATGTTTCCTCTTCTTGTTAAACAGTTGTCCTGTGTCCAGTCATCTTCTTTTTGATATCTTCGCTAAATCTCCAAGTCTGCTCAGTCCGTACACGAAGTTATCGCTGACCCTTCCCTCTTCCAATCTCCTATTTATCAGGTTTCTTCGAAAGAGGATTTCGACAGACTCCCTGATCTTCCATTTCCTCGTGTTCGTTTCTTCATATGAAGCCAGTCTTTCCGTTGCATTCTAATAAATTGTACGGTCGGTAATAGCAATGTGCTCAGCTAACTCCGATCTTTCTGTATCCATTTTTCTGCTATGTTACTGGTGTCCTTGTGATGATTGCCATTATTGTCTCTCCGACGTATTTTTGTTCACAGTCCTTGTAGTTTATGCTGTAAACTTCGGAACACTCCATTTTTTAACTTATTTATGCTGTGTGAAGAGGGTGAAGAGGCTGGTAAAGAGGGTTGTTCTTTCCTTCATGATTGTACTAATTTTCCATTTCCCTAATATTGGCCATATCCTCCGAGCCAATTCGCAGCAGGGTAGAAATATCCATCGTTTTTCCTCTGCTCCTCTTGCTTTCATTTCATAATCTCCGTTCTTTAATCTGTTGATCACCATCCGTATGTTGTGTTGCATTGCTTCTTCTGGATATCCGCTTCCAAAAGACATCTGAATTAGTTTCCCCGTTCCTCTTCCCAGAGCTCAGAATCATTGAGTCTTAAGCTTCTTATGAGCATACTACGGAGTATTTCAATCTTCACCCCATAGTTATGGTTCGACTGGAAGTTAAGAGTTATTCCAGCATGCGATTTCTTTAGGAAAACTTTTATA